CTGCTGGGCCTCATCTACGTCGCCTCGGTGTTCCTCTACCTGTACATGAAGAAGCGCAAGCGGCACAGCTCGCGCCACTCCCTGGACAACCTGGCCAACGAGATCAACTACCCGAAGAACGACCAGGTCACCTACGGAGCCCCCTTCAGCCGCGTGGGCAGCATCTACTCCGCGAACAGCATGGGTCTGGGCAATGGCAGCGAGTCCAACAGTCGCCCCAACATTGCCAGCCTGAAGGAGGACCTGGGCATCGTCAAGAACAATCCCCTGCTGCAGCACTTTCCCCAGCTGGGCGAGAGGGAGCACCAGTCGGGCTTCGCCAGTGACATTTCCAACTCCAACTCCGAGTGTGAGATGGAGGAGAAGATCAAGGTGGGTGCCAGCAGCGCAGCTGCTCTGCTTACTCCAGCATGCCTCAAGCCAGGATTTACTTACCTTTCAGACCTCGGTCCTGGTGCATCCGCAGCTGGGCAAGTCGTCCAAGTCGCCCAATGGCTGTGCCAATGGCCAGGAGAATGCCTCCCTGGATTCTGATGACTTTCTGCAGGACAACGAGTGCCTGCCGCCCGAGAACGTGGCCGTCATCGAGGATCTGATGAGCGAGGAGAAGATGGAGAACCTTCGGGCCATGGTCAGTGGCAATGTGCGCAAGAAGCTCTACTTCAATCCGGCCTACTTTGAGCCACATCTGCTGGCGGTAAGTCTCAGTCCCTGTGGGGAAGATCGCGCCTCTAAATCCCCTGTATGTCTCCATCTGTTCCCCAGGAGCCGCCGCAAGCTGCCATTGAGTTTCTGCAGAAGATCCGCGAGGTCATTGCCATTGCCAAGTACAAGATGGCCGCCAAGCGCTACCAGCCCTCGCTCAACATCATTCCCGAGGAGCAGCAGCCAGAGTCCAGCAGCTCTCCGTCCATGTACCAGTTTTCGCTGCAGCAGAACCTCTCGGCCAAGGGCGGAATGGGGGACAAGCGGAACAGCATCGAGCAGTGGCTGCAGAGTGTCCCCAACTCGGACTCAACACAGCCACAGCCACAGAAGACCCTCGACAGAGCCACGCCAGCGGCGGCCAAGAAGAACTCGGGCTCGCCCACAAAGGGCTCGCTGAGGAGGGACATAACAGCGCCCAAGGAGCGGCCGCCACCGCCGCCCAATGCCAAGGTCAAAGCGGCCGAAGTGCCCACATCCTCATCCTCATCCTCTCCGAAGCCAGCATCAGGCAGGTCCGGGCCAGAGCCAGAGCGAGTGCCGGGCAAGACCAATGCCAACTCCTACGAGAGCTTCTCCTCCTACTCGATGGCCGCCAATGTGTACGGATTCGCAGAGACGGGCGGGGAGATCTACAACAATCCAAAGTTCATGCTGGCTGACTCTCCGGCCGGCTCCATGCGCAGCACCTCCAGCCGCTGCAAGTCGCTGCGCAAGCGGAGCGATGTCCTGGACCAGTTCGCAGCCGCCAACTCCACGCCCACCTCGCTGACATCCTTCGACCGGCAGCACTACAATATGCTGCGGAACATGAAGCCGGCGGAGATCATCTACGACTCGCTGAAGCGGGAGTACGGGGCGGATATACCCACGCCCGACTACGACAGCACCATCGAGAAGAAGATCAAGGACATCTACAGCAGCACCCAGAGCAGCATTCCCTCGGTGCCCACGCCGGACTACAGCTCCCTCAGCCGCAAGTCCCTCAAACAGTTCCAGCCGGACTCCCCCATCTACAGGCGCAAGTCGCCGCAGTATCTGATCGTCGACTACGAGACGGACAGCCTCGAACGGCTGGAGCCGAGCAAGCGCAAGAGCTCCCACTCCTCCAGTTCGCCCTCATCCGACGTCAGCTCCCAGCTGAGTCCCAGCCTGAGCACCGCCCTGCCACTGGAGGAGGAGCTGGAGATCAGCCACACGGTCTACGATCGCCTGAACGGCTTGCGCAAGGAGGGCGATCTGAAGAAGCGCCTGGCCGGCAAGAATCCGCAGCTGGTGCAGCAGCGGCAGAAGGAGGCGGCGGCTCGCATCAAGTACGACACACCCTTTCGGGGCAGCATGACCATCGAGGTGGAGCACGAGCCACCTTCGGATCTGGAGCGCACGGACAGCGACCAGTTCGAGCCGGACACTCTCGACAGAAAGCCCAAGAAGCAGAGCTTCTGCGACATCAACGCCTGGGATGGCCATGGGCGGCAGCAGCAGCAGCAGCAGCAGCAGATGAGCAGCGATTCCTATGTGGATTCGGACTACAACCAGATCAACTCGCTGCCAGATTTGAGTCGCGGCCTGAGTCCGGCAGCCAGTCAGGCCATCAAGCCGCGGACGGCCTCCTTTATTCTGAAGTCTAGCCACTCGTTCCGCAATCTGCGGGAGATCTACGAGTCTCCGCTGGTGGCCCAGGAGAGCTGCAAGTGCGAGAGGAAACCGACGGCGGAGGAGGAGGGCCGCATACTCACCCTGGAGGCGAAGCACTCGCGGCGCCAGCGGGGCATGCAGTCCTCGCCCACCCACTCGGTGGTGGATGTGGCCAGGGTGAACAAGACAACCATCACGATATCCTCGCCCAAGCCGGCGGAGAAGCAGCAGGAGCAGAGCAAGGCGCTGGGGCACAGGCATGCCCCGAAGGCCAATCAACACTACTGTCCTCCGCTGGTGCAGAGCAAGCGGCCACTGCCGCCGCCGCCGCCGCCCAAGCAAATGGCGGGCGAGAGCCAGCCACAGGATGAGGATGCCTACAGCATGCACAGCGAGGTCACAGAGGTGACCGGGGTCACATCGGAGTTCGAGAACTCCTGCAACAACACCATGTCCAGCGCGATATCGGCCACAACTGAGGAGCGAGGCCACAACTATGCCAAGCAGCCGAAAGAGATCCACGGCAAGTCTCAGGGCCACAAGCAGTCCCACCTGGAGGCCGACTACGATGCGATGTACAGCAAGAAGATCAACAGCCTGCGCAACGACTACAGCCTGACCAAGTATCTCAATCGGCGCAAGAGCCAGCAGCGCGAGGAAGCCTCTGAGCCGGCGCAGGAGCCCAAGGACAACCCAGAGCCGGAGTTCGGCAGCAACAACAATGCCAAGAATGGCATGAAGGAAGTGGATCTCAATCAGTTCGATGCCTTGTCGATCAGCTCGCGCTCGAACCGGAGCAGCGGCCACCTGTCGGAGCGTACCAAGGAGATGTACCGCAATGCGGGAGTGCCCGTGGGCATAGCCTATCCGCAGCGGGCGGCGGCCAACAGTTCTGGGAACTCCAATCCGAGCAATGTGCAGACCGTGTACCGCTGTGAGATCGAGCCGGCTCACCTGACGGCGGGCATGCAGATCGCCATCGGGCTGAAGGATCGAGCTAAGAAGGCCAAGGATCTGAAGAATGCGTGGCGCAAGTTCGTCACCATGGCGGCCAACAAGTTCAGCCCCAGTCAGAGCCCGGCCCCAACCTACGGCACCAAGAATGCGGCGGGCTTCCTGGAGGCCCTCGATCGAGATGAGAGCATCGCCACCATCATTGAGAACGCGGCACAGTCTGCTGGCATGGGCCAAGGGCCTGGCAGTCACAACTTCTACGAGCAGCGATTCGGGCAGCTGGACAGCGGCTACATGAGCACCGACTCCACAGAGCTGTACAAGCGCAATGTCTACGATCGGTACAACTTCAAGATGATGACGGGGCGCGGGCAGATCATCCGTGTGGACACAATCGAGGACAACGAGGAGGAGAGTGGGCCCAATGACAGTCGCTTCGAGGATCTGGAGCACATGGTCTCGCCTGGCCATAGCCGCCGCTCTCCGGAGAACGTTGCCGGCGACGATCTGAGCGATGCCGACTCCGACAAGACCTTGACTCGCTCCCACTCCCGCTCCCACTCGCAGGCCAACTCCCAGGAGCTGAATGCGCGCGGCAGCACCACAACGATGTCGTCGTACTCCTCCGAGGAGGAGGCCGGACGGGGGCACAGCACTTGCTGTGGCTCGTCCGAGACGGACGAAGAGACCAATGCCGAGGACATGTGGGAGTCCGGGGCGGAGAGCATAGAGACCCACTCTGTTCTCTACAAAATGATCAGAAAGAGTTAGGTTAGGTTAGGTTAGGCTAGGTTGAAGTGTTAAGTGAGGTTAGGTTAGTGGAAAGTAGGGTTAGGTTCGATTTAGGGACGTGCAATAACTGGAACAGAGGGGAAAGACTTCCATCTAGACTAGGTTAACGTTAGCCCGAAGTAATCAGTGCAATAACTTCGCAAATAATTCTTGCCAAACCACAAGGTGCAATTTTATTCTACATAAGATACATATGCATATGTATAAGCAATGGAACTCCTTGGAAACTGCATCTAAAGTGCAATGTGCAATGTGCAACGTGCAACGTGCAATATGTAGCTACCAACACACCCAAGCCCTAAGATATATAAGTGCAATAATTCATACATACATATACACATATCGTTTATTATCGTATCGTTTATCAAATCCGTAGTGCGTATCGTATCGAAGAGGCATCGATGCGTATATTGTGATAAATGTCAGCAGTCTTGGGCCGGAAATGTGCAATCTTAATGTTAGTATCAGTGTGTATGTATATGGTAAGTAGCTAAGTTATCCATAATAAACATTGAAATATGTAGATTTAAATAGAATTGGGGGTTCTTTGATTATTTTCAGTTGTGAAATGTTAAGTATATCGATCGGTAGATAACAAACAAATCGGCGAAAATAAATCGATTAGCAAATGAAAATAAAGATCCAACTAATGCGAAATTTAATTTGATTTCCCAATTGGTCGCAATCTTAATTAATTGATTGATATTTTAGTCACAAGATCTACCGAAAACAATGCAAGATATTCGTTGGAGGATTTCTGACACCTATATTTACGGCTCTTCGTGTCTATTTCACGATTACGCGGCTATCAAGATTTTTGATAGTGACATAATGGTCAATCCAATCACAATCTACAGCCAGACGATAAGGCGAATCTATAAATCTAGCTACCATTCCCCGGTAGCGGTCAGTTGATTGAAAATGCTACGGATTTTGGCCGCGTTCTGTTTGCTCGGAGTCGGAGTCTCTTTGGCGGATCCCGTCCACCTCAACGCTGAGGTGCAGGTGCAGGTGCAGGTGCCGCTGCCCGATGGCCGCATTGTGGGCGGACAGGATACGGATATCATCCACTATCCGCATCAGATCTCGATGCGCTACAGGGGCAATCATCGCTGTGGCGGCAGCATCTATGCGACCAACATAATCATCAGTGCCGCCCATTGTGTGAGCACTTTGGCCAGCCCAGCAGACCTCACCATTGTGGCCGGCTCCACGAGGATCAGCATCAAGACGCAGGAGCTGCCTGTCCGCGAGTTCATCATTCATCCCAAGTACAGGACACTCAACAACGACTACGATGCGGCCATTCTCATCACCGACGGAGACTTCATCTTCAACGAACTGGCCCATCCCATTCCACTCGCCCGGGAGCGCCCGGAGCACGGCTCAGCAGTCATTGTCACCGGCTGGGGCACCACCACCGAGAACGGCCTGTTGTCCAACGTGCTGCAGGAGGTGGAAGTGAACGTGGTCGAGAACGATCAGTGCAAGAGCGCCTACTCCATAATGCTCACCAGTCGCATGCTCTGCGCCGGCATCACCGGCGGCGGCAAGGACGCCTGCCAGGGCGACTCCGGTGGCCCGCTGGTGTACAACAATGAGCTGCTCGGCATTGTCTCGTGGGGCACGGGCTGTGCGCGAGACAAGTACCCGGGCGTGTATGCCTCTGTGCCGGAGCTGCGCACCTGGCTGTTGGAGACCGTCGAATCCTACGACCATGTGGGCAAAATCGACTTCCTGTAAACACCACAGAAGCTACGCCCCTGCTCAACAGATTGTCTCCTTGAACACATGTATCTTGTGATTATTTCACAATTTTACCCAGAGTTACATACAAGAAATCGACTCGAACCCCAGACCCAGGCACAGGCACTGGCACTGGCACTGGCGATACGGTACCCACAGCAATTATTTCGTTGGTTTTATTACAGTTTTATTATTGAATTAGCCGTGTACATTGGCAGCTCTATCCCAGCCGATAGTCGGCAGTAGCCACTTGAAGATAACGTCGATTGCCGCCAGCAATCAGCGGATACCTTGACAAATTCCTTTGTTTATTGCGCCCCACTGGCCGCCAGGGTCTCATCGATCCAACTCTTCAGGCTGGCCACGTAGGTATAGACGGAGGGATAGCCGGGCCGGGCACAGCCGCGTCCCCAGGACACGAGGCCAACCAGCTGGTCGTCGATGACCAATGGACCTCCGGTGTCGCCTTGGCAGGCGTCTACGCCCCCCTGGGCCACAATGCCAGCGCAGACCATTCGCTCGCTGACTTCACCGCTGCCGTAGATCTGGTTGCACTCCTCCGAGCTGACGATGGGCACTTGAGCCTGCTCCAGGCGGTAGCTGTTGGGGCCCCCCTCCTCGCGATAGCCCCAGCCGGCAATCGTGGCCAAGCGTCCCACGGCCGGACGCTCCGATCGAATGCCAATGGCGCGGATGCCGAAGCGGGTTAGATTCAAGGGCGCGTCCAGGATGAGAACACCGATGTCGTAGTCGACGTTGATGTAGTTGAAGCTGGGATGAAGGGTCCAGTTGGAGACGGGAACCAGAATTCCGTCGCTGCCATTGCGGGTGTTAGCGGCGGCCACGGCCAGTACTTTGACGCCCTCCGGCAGGTTCCACAAGCACTGGGCAGTGGTGAGCAAGGTCTGCTCTGAGTAGATCACTGCGCCACACTCGTGCATGTAGCTGGACGTCTCGCTGCGACGATACCGCAAGGAGACCAGGTACGGATGCCGACCAATGTCCACCGTGGTGCCATTGATGATTCGCGCCTCCGGTTGTGACAAGTCCGAGACGGAGGCGGAGACGGAGGCGGAGACGGAGGAGCCCGCTGCCAGCAGCAGCAGCAGGAGCAGGAGCGGCCCCATCATCTGAAGCTGTCGGATGCGGATGCACATTGTACCGCTGGGTAGGTGGACTGGCGGTCGATTTGCACGGGCCTCTGGTTCGAATCGAACTGACTATGAATTATGATTGCTCAGGGCGCGAATTTGCACTTCTCCCAGGCACCGACCGGCATATCGATTATCTTAATGGGAGGTGCTCGAGATAGCTTCAGATAGCAAGGCTCCACGGTACGAGTTTGGCCGAGATAAAGACGATTACGGACTGTTTGCGGACTCTTTTCAGTTAATCTTGAGACGTATATACATAAGTTCTGTCGCACCGAACCTCTACAATCAAATGTTTTGTTCAATCCTTTTGTAGTCTCCGACATATTCTCAGAGTTTTCAGACTAAAATGGGCCTAGATTATGCATAGTGACGATCGTTTTGTAATCTATATCTCCTTGATTTCACACGTTGTTGGGGGTTAAGTGCAGATTAGCGGAGATTTTCCCATTCGGATGATTGGAATTCGACTTTGGATTCACTCCAAAGAGAAGGAGGAAGGAGCAATAATGATCAAATTTCTCTGCTTGGCCGAAAAGTGTGCCACACTTTTTTGAATGCGATTCGCTATTAACCCTAAGTGTATGCCACATATACTCGTATTTACACACCCATAAGTGAACCGAAAACGGAACAATCACTCCGCAAAGATACTACTTCTGGGCGTACTTTCGTAGTTGGATGGAAAGAGATCTAATCTGATCAATCGATTGGCAGCCACGTTGATCGGATCGTTGCTGTGTGGATGTAATCCAAATGCGATTGTGGCAATCTTTGGAAACAATTCTTTGGAACTGGAAAATAACCATTTATTAATAAACCCTCATGTGACATGAGATTAAGCGTTGCTTGCAGATTAGATGATATTAGTGATGCTTCAGAGCTCTGCTTCTTCCGCTATCTTCGCATCAATCCAGGGCCTCAGGTTCGACACATTGGCATAGACACCGGGATAATTGGCCAGGGCACAGGCATTGCCCCAGGAGACAACGCCATGGAGCTGGTCGCGGACGACCAGCGGACCGCCAGAGTCACCCTGGCAGGCGTCCTTGCCACCCACTCCGCGTACGCCAGCGCACAGCATGGCGGGTGTGATCTGGTAGGATTCATCGCCAAAGTTTTCATAGTCCTGGTTGCATAACTCGTTGCTCACGATCGGGACATCGACGGCGAGCAGAACGTTTGAGGCAGAGCCGCCGGAGGAAGTGGTTCCCCAGCCGCTGATCTTGCTGATGGCGCCGGCTAGCGGGGGCTCCGAGGCCAGCTCAATGGCCTTGATGGTGAAGTTGTTGAGCGGCAGCGGCGGGTCCACAACCAGCAGGGCAATGTCGTTGTTGTACGCAGCTCCAGAGTAATACTGCTCGTGCATGATGATCTTCGAGACGGAGACGATGATGCCGTCTGTGCCGCTGAGCTGGTTGGTGCCGGCCACCACCTTGAACTGGCTGGCCACCGTGCCAATGATGCAGTGTGCCGCAGTCAGAATCAAGTTACTGCGGATGACGGAGCCGCCGCACCTGTGGCGGAAGGGATTCTGTGGCGTCGTAATCCCCTTAAAGCGCAGCGAGATCTGGTAGGGGCACTGGGACACATCCGTCACGTAGCCACCCACAATGCGTGGGCCCTGGCTGGTCTCCACATCCTCCTGCACGGGCAAACACCTGGCCACGGCCACCAGGCAGAGCAGGGCACACAGGCTGGCCAGCAATGAGCGCGACATGTTCGATGGTCGGCGGAGAATCGAGGACTGAAAGTCCCAGCGGCATTGTCGACAATTGTAAGGCTTATCAAGCAGTCGGCTCGGTCAACCATAAACCATAAATTATATTCTGGATACCTTTGGCACTCGCAGAGCCATACCCCGGGGGCGATACGCTTTATGGGCAGTCCATAACAGTGCGCAACAAAAACCATAGAAACAGTTCTTCGAGTCCAGACAGAACAACCTCAAAGATATCTCAGCAAATACATTTTCGAAATTGGTGCCATTCATGGTCAAACGCTTGGACCCCTTATCTGATTTTGATATCATTAATCGTTGCACATTATGAAAGAGCCAGGATATATAAAGAATATGCATATATGGATGCATTTCTCTGGCGATGTCCGTCGAGAACAACAATTTAAATGTCTATGAAAACCCATTTCCATATAATTCCTTTGCGGTATTGTAGTCTAAATTAAGTGATCGACCACTAGTTTACCCAATTGACATACAGCTTCATTAACTTTGATGTGAAAACCTATTCAAAAGTTTAATTTTCCGATTTTATTTTGGTATTTTTGTTTCGTTTTTAGCCATTTGTTCTATTACTGCTACCTCTTATAAAAAAGATAATTCTTGAAAAAAATTATTCCACAAAATCTTTCTAACATGTTCAACTATCTAAAAAAAACTACAAGAAAAATGGTTCAATATCTGCCAAAGGGATAGTTTTAACTGTGAATAACCTAGGAATTTTGTCCCATGCGACATGTTCCGTGGGAATATGGTCTTAATTAAATTAAACTATAACCATTTTAAAGCTACATCAATGCACAACAAGTACAGAAATTCGCATCAACATATTGCATTGAATTGATCGGCACGAAAACCACTTCCACATTAGTTTTTTGACAAAATCTCGAAGAGGAATAGTTGCACAAAATGGACCTTAGCGCCACTTATAGGGCAAGTCAAAAGATGTATCATAAAGGTAAAACAATTTAAAAAATCCGTCTTATTTTGACCTTTCTACCACTTGAAATGCGTACGATATTTGTATATGGATTTTGTAAACATATGTTCTACATTTATGAAGACTTCGATTTCCTAACGAATGATTACCTGCTTCAGGGCCTTCAACTCAACTTTCCTTTCAGACTGATCTTCGATACAGATTCTTCGACCTGGTGGATGTCATTCTTTTTGATTCTCGCCACTTCAAAATTGTGGATTCCACAGACTTTCGCCATTTGTGTGGGCGGGTCGAAAATTTGAATTACATTTGTTTCAGTTTGATATCACAGGAGTCTGCAATCAAAATATTCTCTGAGGACTAGAACTAGAGCAGATTGAGCTATATCGACAATAGGTGCCGATAACTATATCCGATAACTGTACAGGAAATCCATATACCTTATCCTAAAACTCTTTGAGAATCGCATATTAAAATGGAAAGCAAAGGGAAGGAAGGGAAGGGAAACTCCAGTCTCCCTTTTTGAAATATTCCTTTCACATTAATTAATTAAATTATAGTTTTATTTATTGAAATGTTTTAGTGCGAATATGGAAACAGAGATCGCAGCCTGGAACCCCTTGCCTACGCATACGTTGCCCGCTGCTTGGCGATCCAGTCCTTGAAGTGGGCCACATTCGCATAGACACCGGGAGTGTTGGGCCGGGCACAGCCATTGCCCCAGGACACGATGCCCACGAGCCGATTGTCGACGACCAGCGGGCCACCCGAGTCCCCCTGGCAGGCATCCTTCCCGCCCTCGGGCAGTCCGGCACAGAGCATTGCCTCGCTGATGGGTCGCCAGTAGTAGGTCTCCTGGCACTGGACGCTGTCCACGAGCGGAACCTGCACCTGCTTCAGCTTGTTGGAGGACAGGCCACCCTCTTGGGTGTAGCCCCAGCCGCTGACACTGGCCACTGCGCCCACTGGCGGCTGCTCTGTGGCTGCTGCAATCGCTTCAATCCTGCTGGCATCCGTCAGGGGCAGCGGCGGAGAGACGATCACCAGAGCAATGTCGTTATCCGTTGTGGTGGCATTGTAGTTCTCGTGAGGAATGAGTTTCTCCACGCGCACCACCACGCCGTCCATTCCAGCCCGGTTCTCGGTCCCGGCCACCACCATGAAGTTCTCCGCCTGCCGGTTGTACACGCAATGGGCAGCGGTCACAATTGTGCGGCTGTCGAGAACGCATCCGCCGCAGGACTGCGCATAGGCGCTGTTGGTGGAGCTGCGTTTGCGCAGCTGTACCACATATTTGGCAAAGTAGTTGGAGGTATCCACGCCGCCCACAATGCGGCCATCCAGCGGGTCTGCATCTACGGCGCAGATGCCCAGCAGAAAAAGGCCAGCGACGATTGCGGCTCGAGCGTTGTTCATTTCGTTGTTCGCAGAGTTACTAAATTCTTTGGAACGGATTGCTGCAATCAGCGAAAAGCTTTTGGAACTATCTTGAATTGGTCAATAAATTGGTGTTGGTATTGCCCCGATAAGATGGCAAATGGCAGAGTAATTGCTCATACGAGCAGAGCCTCACAGAGCCAAGGGCATGAGAAGACCATGGCTGACAAAGAGACTTCATGTGGGACGAATGATTGCCGATAATCTCTGCCAAGTAGCCGGTGAAACCATTTTGTCAGCTTTTCCTCACAATAAACAAAAACACTGACTAAGCTTCGGGGAGCTTTCTGGCTGATTTTTAATCTCTTACTGGAATAGAATTCGCTGCAACCCCTGAAAGTATACATAGTGCGAACAACAAATGAAATATCTACAAATTCTTGGCAGTCTCAACGATCCAAGCACGCAAAGTGGCTACATCGGCATAGACGCCGGGCAACAGATTCGAGGCACAGCCATAGCCCCAGGACACGATGCCCACGAGCCTGTTCTCGGCCACCAGCGGACCACCGGAGTCGCCCTGGCAGGCATCCTTCTTCTGCTCGTAGGCACATACCATGGAGTCGTAGATGATGTCGCCGTACTTGTACGCATCCGAGGCACACACCGTCCAGTCCACGATAAATACGACCACCGCCTGGAGTACCTTCGGCAAGGTCATGCACCAGAAGTAGCACTTGGAACCCCATCCAGTGACAATCGCCGGCGTGCCCGTGGCTGGCGTCTCTTTGGCCAGTTCTATGTAGCGGATATCTTCGGTCTCCTCAACGTCCTCGACCAGCTTCAAGATTCCCACATCAAACTCCATGGTGCTGGAGCTGTATTTCTCGTTGTAGGCCAGCTCCCGGACCGCCACCACCAGTCCCCCCTCATTGTACAGCGTGGAGCCCAGGCGGACATAGACCTTGGACGCCTTGCGGCCCTGCAGACAATGAGCCGCCGTCACCACGGTGTTCTTGTCGATCAAGCTGCCGCCACAGAAGTGGGAGCCGCGCTTTGTCTGCAGCGACACCTGATAGGGATGGGCCCGTATGGTGGTGTCCTCGCCGCCCACAATGCGACCCTCTCGCGCGAATGGATTGGGAGCGACGCTGACAGTGCCAGCCCAGGCAGTGCCCACAGCCAGGCAGGCCACCAATGCCACTAATCCGTGCATTCTGGGAAATAACTAAACTAACCCAATTGTTGGTCCCCACACTGCTATTTGTAGGCGTGATCCGATCTGGAGTGGTCCGCTTTGACATTATCGGGAATTAGCATCCCGGTGCCTGAAGACTCTTCAGCGTAATCCAGGCTGGCATAGCGTTATCGCCACGACTTCTTATCAGCCAAAGGCACCGCACGAAATCAGAACTGTTGCCGCATTTCGGAAGTACACACTTGGACACCTTTTATGGACTTATTGTCTTTCCATAAGAAATACTTTGATGGTTCATCGTCATGTGCCATAATGGGGCTTCACATCGTTTGAGTGATTGATTGCGAGTACTCGAATTTGTTGTGGCATTGCACACCTTAGTTTTTGCGTATCGGGGTTTACGATCAAATAGAGAACTTTTGCCCCCAATATATGCGAGTGAGTAGTGAGTATTTCCCATGAGGTCAGGTCACTCATGGACAAAGTTTGACGGCAGCAATAAGACATATTGCTACAAGGAAGTCATTACTTTAAGTCATTAACCTGAAAAGTAACCAAATTGGTGGCAAAGCGGAGATAGCCACCTATCCCCTATGTCTCTATCGTATTATTCTTTTTGAGCTGAATGACGCTCATCAAAGCACACCCTGGCGTTGTTGCAATCGTCAATCGTAAAAACAAAATAGGCACTTTAAATTAAATTGAAAATTATCTGATTGCCAAAAGCCTTTATAAACAATACTATCTGTGAAGCGTTCCCAGAATAAATGTGGAAATTTATATAATTATTAATCGGTCTAAGGGAACTTTCATTATCTGTATTTGATGAATATTTTTTTCGTCTGTTAAGATAGCCTTCTGGAGAACGATCTTTATACAGAATTTGCCATCAACTATCTTCTGAGTTTACTTTGAAATTTGATATGCCACAAGTTGAAATTAATAATAATATAACAAATAAATCTATATATGTATATAAAACGAGAAGGAACGTGTGAGTCGCTTCTTGGGACGGACTCTACTTTTATACCCGTACTCAGTAATCAGTATATACATTTTTCCGCTTATGATTTATGTAGAATTTTAAAAAATGTTACATTTTACATTTTTTGGCTACAACTTTTATATACATCTACAATGTATATTATACATGTACCATTAAGATTCTACATCTCCGGTAGCGGGCATGCGCGCACTGAACGAGGCAGAGTGTGCGAGCGAGAAAGATAATGAGTAGCGGGTCTCTGGCTAAAGTAGGCGGGGGAACCAACAGAAAATTAATTTCTTCATTGGCTGTAATTATGATCCGATCTGATTCAGATTCGGCAATCTGGTAGACATGAGCATTCTCTACGATACTGCGTTTTTAGTTTTATCGTATCTTTAAAATTGGGGGCGGAAGGTGGCGGGGCGAATTTTGAAATACACTTGTAACAGTGTGATATCACATGAGTCTGGAAACAAAATTTGGTTGCTCTACCTCTTATAGTCTCTGAGATCTAGGCGCTCATCAAGACGGACAGACAGACGGACAGACGGACGGACAGACGGACATGGCTATATTGACTCGGCTATTGATGCTGAACAAGAATATATATACTTATAGGGGTCGGAAACGTTTCCTTCTCTGCGTTGCACACATCCACTTTTACCACAAATCTAATATACCCCTTAACTCTTTTTGAGTACGGTTATAACGAATCCCTATTTCCCTTGGCCACGGCATCACGCGTGAACGGCTGGACCGATTTCGCCAATTCTTTTATTGTTGTGTTTCTTATTGTGAGGAGAAGGTTCTTCTTTAATAATATAGGGAAAATGTTGGTATTGTTGTATGAACTAGGCCTAGGAACTAGGCCAAACATTCGTTTGATTTTTTGTATGGAAAGTGTTACATAAATCAAAAAATAAAATCAGTCGGTTTAGAGTGGTTATAAATTTCAGATGAAATAATCTGTTTAGACCGATTTGGCTAATTGTTTAAAAATAGTTTAAAAGTGCTGAAAAAGTCGGAAAATTGTGCGGAAAGTGTTACATACATTTTTGATCTGTTTTGAAAATTGTTTTGTGTGAGTATTATCATCATTAATATATGTACACATATTAATAAAGGTGCTGCACAAGAAGATGGGTTTCAAATATGAATGAGGAAGAACGGCAATCCGTACGAGAGATAATAACATGAGGCATCCATATGCGTAGCGGGAGACGGTATGGGTCGATCAACTGAAGATGCCGGAAACGGGAATGGAATATTGTGTATTTTATACCCTCAAATTATTGCAAAATCAAATTTATGTTGAACTTATTATTCGACTCACTTCTCATCCATGCATGAAACGTGGCCGGGCACAGCTAGTAAATAAATAAAAATAAACAGAGTTATGCCAAACTTGCTATTTTTTATAGTCCAAATCAATCAATACCTATCGTTCCTCTCATGTTGTGGTTAATTAATCTTGATGTACCGATGACGCAGCTGTCCAGACAATCACTTAGCTTATCAATGGAAGATGGAGTGGAAAGCTGGCCACGCGATGCACTCAAGTATTGATTAGATACACCACTTGAGTGCTTACCGGCAGATGTTTACTCCATTCACCAGCACACTTAAGACCACGGAAATCAGTTAGAACCAACAACAACAACAAAAGCACCCCACACACATATGTATACCTAGTTATAGACAACCAATACCCATTATTCTGTCTGTATAAATATTTTTTGAAATGGGTATGGGTATATTTCTACTGGAATACAATATACCCCTGCACATTACGAATACCTCGTACTATAATGACTGACGAAAGTCAGTTAAAAGATAATCTCAGCGTTTGGTGTGATAGAAATCTGTGAGCAAAGACAACTTCCGCCTCAGGCACCCATTATCCTGATTCTTTCTCTAAGCATTCAAGACGAGTATGATAGTATAACCTTTGAGTTCCTTAGATCCCAAAAGAATGAGAGCTTCAAAATACATTGTTTGCATAACTTTATTGAATTAACCTAATGGAATACGTTTATTTATTCATTCATTCAATGGAATACTATTCATTTAGATCGAGTTGGCGGCGCTGATCACCCAGGAGCGGAGGACAGCAACATCGGCGTAGACTCCGGGGTAGTTGGCGTAGGCACAGCCATAGCCCCAGGACACAACACCAACGAGGACACCGCCGGAGACCAATGGGCCGCCGGAATCGCCCTGGCAGGCATCCTTGCCGCTGGCAGCAGCGCAGATCATGGTGGACCTGATCTCACTGCCATAACCGTAGGTGGAGGAAGCGCACTGCGACTGGCTAACGATTTTTACGTTCACGTACTGCAGGGTGGTGGGGATGGAGCTGGAGCCGGAGGACTGGGTGCCCCATCCAGAAACGGCGGCAGAGGCTCCATTGGCAGGGTTGTACGAGGCAAGGGCAATGGCCTTGATGTTAGAGCTTAAGGAAAGGGAGGAGCTCAGCCTTATGACGGCGATGTCGTTGACCATGGTGTTGGCATTGTATCCCTCGTGGTTCCTGAAGGAAGCAACCTTGACGACGGTGCCGCCGGAGCTCCAGTAGGTGGAACCGGCACGGACCTGCAGGGTCGAAGCGGACACGGACTGCAGGCAGTGAGCGGCTGTCACAATGATGTTGGAGGAGTAGACCGAGCCACCGCAGGAGTGGGAACCACTGCGCTGCAGGGAGATCTGCCAGGGGAAGCTGCTGATGGTGGTGGCGGAGCCTCCAACAATGCGGCCATCCAGCTGGGGCAGGAGACCCTCTGGGATGGTGCCTCCCAGGGCGCAGGCGACAGCAGACAACAAGATCACGAACTTCAGCATGTTGAGTGTTAAAAGCGAATGGTTGGTTACAAGACCCCCTTGGCCTTTTTATAGGCCTCATAGACATGCCGTTATCGGGGGAGTGGATCGATGAATCGGACTACAGCCACGAAGTGAAATGACGACACGGAATGTAAACAGACCAAAGCTATTTTGATTGCGCTTTATTGAAGTGTTTTCTGTCTAGGACCTAGACGATGAGAGCCTTACAGATCGTCGGCGGTCTTCTCGATCCACTCGTGGAAGTGGGCGACGTCAGCATACACGCCGGGATATCTATCATCGCCACAGCCATAGCCCCAGGAGACGACGCCGACCAGGCGGCTGCCGGAGACCAGAGGACCACCAGAATCGCCCTGGCAGGCATCCTTGTGCTCGGCGTAGGCGCAGATCATGGTATCCTTAATCTGGCTGCCATAGCTGAACTCGCTGGAGGCGCACTTCTCGCGATCAACGATCTTGAGGTCGACGGCCAGGAGATGGTCGGGAATGTCGCTGCCGCCGGATTCGGTGGTGCCCCAGCCGGAGACAACAGCCTTGGCTCCGTCGCGTGGGTTGGAGGTGGCAATGCGGACTTCCCTGATGCTCGTGCGGAAGCTCAGGTCGGACTCGATGCGGATGATGGCAATGTCGTTGACCATGGTCCTGGAGTCGTATCCCTCGTGGTTCCTGAAAGCACGCACCGAGTGCACGCTGCCGCCGGAGCGCCAGTAGGTGCTGCCCACGCGGACCTTCAGATCCTTGGCCTCAATCGACTGCAGGCAGTGAGCAGCAGTGATGACGATGTCGTGGGAGTAGATGGAGCCACCGCAGAAGTGGGATCCGCTGCGCTGCAGGGACACCTGGTAAGGGTGGGCCTCGATGCTGGTCTCATAGCCACCGACAATGCGGCCATCCAGCTGGGGCAGCAAGCCCTCGGGGATGGTTCCACCCAGGGCGCAGGCAATAGCCGACAGAAGTACCACAAATCTCAACATGTTTCGCTGTTGTATGACTACCAGGGGATTAGCCCTTGCTTATATAGTGTTCCAGGAACACAGATCAATAACTTGATTGACACCTATATCTCCACTCCGTAGATGCTGCGTCACTTTCGCGGAGAGTGTCGTCCGAAAGTCAATCATCTTATCACCTAATCAGCTTATCACCCACTGCCCACTCGAACAGGCTTTCCGTCCGTCTGCGGTTTGGTCAGATAGCAAAAGATAGGAATGGGCAAGCAGCCAAAACCCTATAAAAGCGGCTCGCAGCTCTACAGACAGCGTATTAATTTCGCAATATGTTGAAGTTCGTGATCTTGTTGTCTGCTGTCGCCTGCGCCCTGGGAGGCACCATCCCAGAGGGTCTCCTGCCCCAGCTGGATGGCCGCATTGTTGGAGGCTCCGCCACCACCATCAGCAGCTTCCCCTGGCAGATCTCCCTGCAGCGCAGTGGTTCCCACTCCTGCGGTGGCTCGGTCTACTCCTCCAACATCATTGTGACTGCCGCTCACTGCCTGCAGTCCGTGTCCGCTTCGACCCTGCAGGTCCGTGCCGGTTCCACCTACTGGAGCTCCGGCGGCACCGTCGTCAAGGTTGCTTCCTTCAGGAACCACGAGGGATACAATGCCAACACCATGGTCAACGACATCGCCATCATCAAGCTGAGCTCCTCCCTGGGCCTTAGCTCCACCATCAAGACCATCGGTCTGGCCAGCTCTGCTCCCGGTAATGGCGCTGCTGCTTCCGTCTCCGGCTGGGGCACCCAGTCCTCCGGCTCCAGCTCCATCCCCACTACCCTGCAGTACGTGAACGTGAACATCGTCAGCCAGTCGTCGTGCGCTTCCTCCAGCTACAGCTATGGTAGCCAGATCAAGTCCACCATGATCTGCGCCAAGGCAACCGGCAAGGATGCCTGCCAGGGTGATTCCGGCGGCCCATTGGTCTCCGGCGGTGTCCTCGTTGGTGTTGTGTCCTGGGGCTATGGCTGCGCCTTGTCCAACTACCCCGGAGTCTACGCCGATGTTGCTGTCCTCCGCTCCTGGGTGATCAACAACGCCAACTCGATCTAAGAACTTTGCGAAATTAAACAATACTTGAGCACATTTGATATCGTTTTATTATTGCTGTAGCCAGAAACATTTTCTTTGCGGAATCCTTTCAAATTTCTGAATCGAAGTTCCCTTAACAAGGACAGCCTTATTAATGGCTGGGAATAGGAGTACCTCTTAAGAGGTAAAGCCTTGAAGGTTTGAAAGCATTGATAACTTTAGTGATAGATGTATATGTCGTTTATCAAATATCATAGAGCTGTGTCATGACACTTTTTGTTATAATCACTTTCGTATCAGCTGTAAGCGAGAAGGAACGTTGTAAGTCGCTGCAGTTGCCGCGACTCTACTTTTATAGAGTCGCACTGTACAGGCAGAGTGTGTGAGGGAGAAAGAGGATGAGTTAGCAGTTCAGGGTTGGAAGAGGAAAGCTTAGCCACTGCAAATTAATTTCTTCATTCTGGCTATAACAATGATCGGCGATCTGGTAGAAATCGACATATTCGACGATTCTGCGTTTTCGGGTTTCTTGTACAATTTTTCGAAACTGTCGATGCCACAGATTTTTGTCCTTTGTTGGGGAGGAAGAGGGCTGGTCGAAATTTTGAAATACACTTATAACAGTGTGATATCAAATGAGTCTGGAAACAAAATTTGGTTGCTCTAGCTGTTATAGTCCATGAGAACTAGGCGCTCATCGGGACGGACAGACAGACATGGCTATATCGACTTTGCTACTGATACTGATCAAGAATATATAGACTTTTTGGGGTCGCAAACGTTTCCTTCTGTGAGTTGTGCACATCCACTTGAATCAAAAATCGAATACATATTCCCCTTAACTGTTCGAGTACCGGGTATGAAAAGATATGATGAAGAACCATTTAAAGTTCTTCCTTAAGTCCATTTAATCAATCAAATATATTAATCAGGCATAGTCTGGTGTTTTATATGAAATAGATGTGATTACCACTATCATACTCGTATGTATGCGAAATTCCTCGCAAGTTTTCAGTCAACTGCGTCATTCCGTTCTGCTTTATATAAATCTAAATACGGACTATCGCGCGAATATATTAGGCCACCACTGATTTTAGAATACACTCCCTCAAAAGATATACAGCTGTGTTCAATGAAATAGAAGAGGCCTAAGAGTTCGACTAAAAACTAAAGGCAGGAGGTATAAAGAAGTTTAAAACTCGGTAAGTTGGATGCTCTCTCACTATTGCATTTATTGTTTATTATTAATGTTTAACAATGCATAAATTCTAAAAGTTTAGAAACAGACTTGAAAGTTTTCAGAATTTTTAGAAGAAACAAATAATTTACGCACAGGGCAGGGTTTCCCACAAAGGCTTTCGTTTTTCTTAATCCAGAACTTTTCAGATCGATAAATGTGGAAATTATCATTTAATTTAATTTAATTGTAAAAGTAATCAGTTTCAATTTTATTAAGTAAAGGTTACATTCTGATAAACAAACAAAAACGAGAAGGAATGTGTGAGTCGCTTCTGGGGACGCGACTCTACTTATACCCGTACTCAGTCAGTCAATGTATATTATACATCTAACATGCAGATTCTATATGTACCATTTAGATTCTACATCTCCTCCGCTAGAGGGCTTTCGCGTACATAACGAGGCAGAGTGTGCGAGCGAGAAAGAGAATGAGTAGCGGGTCTCTGGCTGAAGTAGGCGGGGGAACCAACAGAAAATTAATTTCTTCATTGTGGCTATAATTATGATCCGATTTAATTCAGATTCGGCAGACTCTGGTAGATATGAGCATTCTCTACGATACTGCGTTTTTAGTTTTATCGTATCTTTAAAATTGTGCCTGCCACAGATTTTCGTCTTTTGTTGGGGCGTAAGGGGGCGGGGCGAAATTTTGAAATACACTTGTAGCAGTGATATATCACATGAGTCTGGAAAACAAATTTGGTTTCTCTAGCTCTTATAGTCTCTGAGATCTTGGCCCTCATGCTGATGAAGAATATATCTACTTTATGAAGTCTGAAACGATTCCTTCTTTGCGTTGCACACATCCACCTTTATCACAAATCTAATATACCCCTTAACTCTTTTTTGAGTACAGGTATAAAAATGAATATACTGACTGAGTATAAGTAGAGTCGCGTCCCCAGAAGCGACTCACACGTTCCTTCTCGTTGTTTTTAGATTTTTCCCCAACATAGAATTAATTATTTCATGGGCGCTGCGATCGTTATTGCAGGGCTTCACGACGAAACCACTAACCATACAGTATGGTTAGTGACGAAACTCATATGAAACTGAAATTGAAGGGTAAGGCAGACAGCTCAACAGACATAATGCAACACTAAAGAAAAAAAAAATACACGAACAAAGGGATGACAACTCTAACTCTTTTTAATATAGATTCTATATACATTGACGAATATTATTCACTTTTAAAAAATGTATTTTTATTGAAAAGATTTCTGAATAGTAATAATACAAAAATTGGCAAAAAATTTACACCATTTCTCACATCCTAGGGTTGTCATGAATCATGGATTGCCAAAATTGCATTTTTGACAAAAGGTAAACAATTTTTTTTTTTTAATATTAGCGGTATTTTTTTTTATCTTTTCGAATATTTTGTAATCAAAAATCTTTTCATAAATTTTTTGACTTTATGCCAAAAAAAAAATCGACTTTGGGGCTTTGCAATGGTCAGTTAAACATAGAAAATACAACAAAGATTACACTACCCGACAAAATCAAACTTATTGAAGAGATAATTAAAACTTTGGTTTTATTGAAATATGATTAGGTAGACGCGACAAGATCCAATTTGTGTGGACCTGCATTTGTGAGAATATAAAGGAAACATTTGACCTGAATAGGTATTTTTTCATTTTTTAGGTTTGGTTAACGAATTTTAGCTCCAAAGTCTCTCCATAGATTTTAATGAGTGATACCTTAAACGACGCCAAATTAATGCACCTATACACAAACAAATAGAGGACGACTTT